TTTTTTTTTCTGCCCATTTGAGAGAGACCTCATTTATCCCAAAAGAGCCATCTTACGAAACTGAATTTTATTGGCAATTCCGCATTTGGGTACGCGGAATTTGAAGTGGGGTGCTTGAATTTTGGCATCTGTAACTTATAGAAAGTGAAGCAAAATAAATCAATGGATAATTAGGGATTAGAAGAGGCTGATTTTCTGTATGGCGAACGTTTCGACGATATCGAATCAGTGGATTCCTGAAGATGACCTTTTGCTGAAGAATTCTGTTGAGGTAACTGTTTGAGTTTTTTTTTTCCCCCTTCTCAATTTCTGTTACCTTTGGCTTTGCAAATGGAAGTCAACACTGAACTTCGAGCATTTGTATTTATTAGAATGATGACTGACCTTATTAAATTATACATCTTCTTTCTTTGTATGCGTCTTCCGATGGGGAGAAATCTTCATCATGAGTTTGATTTGTGCAGTTTTTACATTTTGTTTGTGTATGATTACTCAAGCTGTATAATTTTTCAACATGACCCTCCGTTCGCAAGTCAAAACTATCTATTGTATGTGTGGATAATAGTTTCCTTAAAATGTAGCATAGCGAAGAAAGTGATGAATGATCCACGCACCCAATTCGATAAGAACTCCTGTCATATTCTAGCTGTCATTATCGTGCTTCATTCATTTAACTGCTAATGGCCAACTAAGCCTTCTAAAATCTCCACTTGTAGTTGGTTGCTGATTTTCGCATTGTTTCTTCAAATATAATGTTTAAGTATCATATTTGTTGTTATATTTCAAATCCTAAAGATGATCTTAAAAGGGAATGAAAATTATGTAGAAATATAAGAATGCTAGTCTTTATAATATGACTCGAAAAATTTGCTTATGGATGCTAATCTGTCTATTTCTGGAAAAAAAAAAAAAAAGCTACTGGTACTTTTACATTGGACCTCATTCTTATGGGTTTTCTACTTGCTAATTATGATATACTTTGTCTTTCACGATCTACAGGCAGGTGCCTCATTGGAAGCACTTGCCAAAGGCGCAGTACAATTTTCGCGGAGATATACTTTACGAGAACTCCGGGAGAGATGGCATTCTCTTCTCTATGATCCAGAGATTGCAGCCCAAGCCTCCGCCCGTATATTTGAGCTCGAGATTTCTGGCTTCTGCCCCGGGTCAAAGTCAAACAAACCGGAGAAAGAAATTTCGAAGAAGAGGAAAAACGAGAGCATCCGCAGAAGATACTATGCCATGAGGAAGAAATTCCGCATCGAGTTTTTAAATCACACTGATCTTGGTTTCTTCGAATCCAATCCTCACGACCCGTCGACACGTGATGGTAATGATCAATTAGGACTTCAGGAAGAGGATTTAGACATTCTGCTCCACGCATTTCCAGGTACAATACAAGATGCGCCTGGTACAAGCAATCAAAACATGGGCGGCTATGGATTTGGTGAAAACGTGACCTCGTTAGGGGAATGTGCTGGAAAAACTAAAATAGATGATAATAATGCAGTTATGTATGCCGTGGAAAAAGAAAATAGCTCGCCAGCCTACACAGGTGAGTTTGCAGACCCGGACTCACTTCTGAACCTGTCGAATGAGGAAGAGATACTCTTGGTGGATGAAAAAGATATAGAAAATAAATGTGCTATGGATATATCAAATAAAAGTAGTCAGGAAAATGATACTGCAAAAGTTGAACCCGAGACCTTGGAACCCACAGAAGCTACTGTAGATACTTCGGGCTCGAAAGTTGACTTGCCATCAGAGTTGACTCGGAAGTGCGATTTGGTTGAGCTCTGTCATGGCGAGATCTGCTGCACGTTAAACACAGAGGACCCTGAGATTCCTTGTAATGATGATATATTCTTGCTAATTCATCCTTCCATGTCGTCTGGTTCACCTACACAACAGCCAAACACCACAACTTATGAGAAGGTTAATGGGCAAGACGTGAACTCACCAATAAAAGGCAAAGATTCGGTTCACCCATTTGCTAGTACGGCTAAAGCTGATGTTCCTGCATTTGTCAACAAGACCGTTGGGAATTCCAGTAAAGGAAAATCGCAGAATACAATCCCAAAACCATGCAGTATTAGCATTTCCAGGAAAGAAGAAGTTGGAGTTGGTATGAAGGTGATTAATTTTTTGTACTTTTGGTTATTATTATTTATTTTTAGTCGTAGTTGTAAAATGAACTTTATGATGACAGCCTTATAGCAGAAAGAAAAGGGTGTTAATGAATATTTGATATCTCATTACAGCCTACATTTTTTATTAAGCAGGTTCGAGACAGCCAAGCAACAATCATACGATCCATGGAAGCAAGCTCTGCTAGTACCTCTATTCCAGAATTATTAGTCAATGACTCACTATCTGATCATGAAGAATCACAGATTGATGATGACGTGCCTTATTATTCTGACGCGGAAGCTATGGTACAGCTTTTGAACTATTTAGTAATTATGATAATCTATTAGAAAACTGCTTTGAATCTGGCTAACTGTGAACTCTCGCAGATTCTTGAAATGGACTTGGATCCAGATGATCAAGGCGTCAGGCAAGGTACTTTGTTTAGTACCATATCTGGTTGCAACAATCAATTCTTGATGTTCATTTTATGAGTAGTTGCCTCAATTATTGTATCTGTTTCTCTTTGTTTGTTTTTTTTGCATGTAAATATTTTTTTCCTGACGAAGTACGCATTCTAAACGAGCAACAAAATAATGCCGTCCTTGTGTGTTATCATGTTCCTGCATTAACCAGTGCTTAAAGTCAGGTCATGATTCCTAATGCGATTGACCACATAAATTGATAATATTTTACATACGTGCTAGTTATAACAGTGGACAATTCTGAACAAAGAATTTGAATGCTTCTTGTGTTGTTTTCGGTGTTTGACCATAATTGGCTCCATTCGCGTCTTATATTTTCAGTTCCAAGTTACCAATACGATGATACTAAAAGGACAATAATAAGGTTGGAACAAGCTGCTCGTTCTTGCGTACAGAGGGCCATGACATCACAAGGAGCGCTTGCTCTCTTATACGGCCGCCATTTGAGACATTACATTAAGAAACCTGAGGTACCATATTCCTACAGCCATCTACGGAAAGTCAAATTTGGAGTATTGATTCTTAATAAGATTATTTCTTGGTTGTGGTTCAAATAAGAACCAACCCTTACTTTAAGAACCTTGAGAACACTATGCTTAACTGTGTCCTATTTTTGAATCAGAGTTTATTATTGAAAACAACTACTTTACATATAACATAGTGGAAATGATAGCACATGTGCAGTTCTCATGCTTTTGAAGATTCAACTTCTCCGTAAAAGAATTATTTTATATTCGGATATCTGAAGAATGTAATCTTTCGCATATCTTACTTGGTTCATAGATTACTGGATTAATGACTGATTATTAACATCTTTACCTGACATCATCATTCCTATTGAATTTATAAATAAAAAGGGAGCTTTTCTATTATTTAAATTGATAATCAGGTCCAATATCTATGTGCCTGAATGTGTGCTATACTGCTATATATTACTAAAATATATGTTTCGTGCTTTCTTCATGATTTTTTTATTTTTTTTTTCTTTTCTTTTTGCAGGTTTTACTTGGCAGATCTACAGATGATTTTGATGTTGATATTGATCTAAGGAAAGAAGGAAGAGCCAATAAAATATCTAGGCGGCAGGTATCATCATTGTACTCTATTTTGTTCTTCGAAATTTCAGAACTGTTAACGGATGAAGATGGGTCTTTGAGAATTCTTAAATGAGATCCCAAACATTGAAAAAGATGTTACATTTCCTAACATATTAAACGAGTCATTTCTCGCATATAGTTTTGTGCTGCACAACTAGCAATCTTAACTATCATTTGGATTTTTTTTTTTTGGTATCTGCTTAGGCTATCATCAAAATGGAGGCAGATGGATCTTTCTTTTTAAAGAATCTCGGGAAGAGTTCTGTATCAGTGAATGGCATGTCAGTAGCTACGGGACAAGTGCTGAACCTTAGTCCCAGCTGTTTGATCGAGGTACTTCTCTTGCATCCTCACTAAGAGAATGTTTTTATTTATTTATCTTTTTTGGTAGACAAATATTTTGAATTCAATATTGCTATATAACAATCAGTTTCTAGAAAATAATATCGAATTTTATCTGGTTATGTAGATAAAGGGAATGAGTTTCGTTTTTGAGATCAACCAAGAATTCGTGAGGACTTGAAAAATAAAAGAAAAACGGGCCAGTCTGAATGGTCGTTCAGCTGATGATGAACCGTCAGCATCTGTAAAGCTGGGGAAAAAAGGTCTTTTTCCTTGTTATTTATTTTTACTGAAATAAATCACTGTCTGCCTAATGTATAGGTTCTTCAGCAACTATGTTTAAATAACTTTGCTTTACTTCACTACATAAGTATAGATATAGCAGGTTTTGGTCGCGATATATCGTCTAATTCAACTACATAATAGCACGTAAGTTCTCGTTTTTCCTCTTTTCATCATTTTGTTGTATATTTGATCTTGCATTGTTATCTATTTGGTTTTATACTCTTTTGTCTTGGCCAAAATTTTGTTCTTTCGATGCTCCAGTTTGGTGTTAGACTTAGACTGTTGTTGGTAGTTAAGGAAAATATACGGAATTAGATGGAGGTTTAAAGTTGTAAATAATAAAAGTTTGAGAGGTGAATTTGAGATTGTAAATAAGTATATAAGATCGAAAATGCAATGGTTAAAGTTTATGTGATGCATAAATAATAAATTTGGTTGATAAAATTGGTAGTTAGATATATGCTAATAGTGTTATATGAAAATGACTGTTTTTGTTATTTTAATTGTGGTGATTGTGTTGATGAGATTGCAAAGAAAGACCTGAAACAAAATTAATATTATTTAAAAAAAAAAAATCTATATATGTATTATTCCATTTTCTGTTTAAATGAGCTAAGTTTAAAATGATCATAAATAACATGATGTAACTAATCAAACAATACTGGAATATCAGAAATTCTATGGAGCCATCGAATTGCTCCCTTATGGAGTCATCCATAACGTTATGTACTGACATATGTCCAATGTGCATTTATTGCAGGACATGTGTCAATACACTATTTGTAAATAATTACGGATGACTCCATAAGTCGAGTCATCCGATGACTCCATAGCAAAAGTGATTTTTTTTATTTTTTGATCCGCACCATGCACTATAAGAAATATGATTGTATACAAATTTTTATCCCGAAATTTTATTTCAAATTTATTCCAACTTAGTTTTATACCCAATATAATCAGTATAATTAAATAATTTTAATTAATTATTATAGCAAAAATTTTAACAAAATATACTATTCATGTACTAATATTTTTAATTACCAATTCTTTTCATTATTCACACATATCCTATTTTTATATCATATTAATTTTAATTAGTACATTTTAATTTATATCTAAGTACAAACATAAGTTCAATTCAAATCTTCATTCAATCATTTTTATAAAAATTAATTTACTATATACAATAAATTAAATCCAATCAACTTAAGCAACTTGGAACAAACATTGTTAAAAACCAATTTTTTCCAGCAAAAATAAGCCAAAAAATAATAAAAAAAAAAATTAAGAAAATAAAAGAAGACAATTAACAAAGATAGGATATTACTAAATTTATGACTTCCATTTAAGTACTGTACAAAATTTTCATCATATTCCACGTGTTCTCTATGACTTAATGATATTCTCATTTGCACTTCGTTTTTTGTTTTTGCTTTTCCTTTTTTTGTATGTAATTAGTTTCTCATTATTATGCAAAACATATGTAATTCGCCACAAAAAATTGTCATATTCTAAAAAAAGATTTTACGTTAATATATTTCAATAGAAATTTCAACGAAAATTTTACGATAATGTATTTCTATGATAATCTCAATAGATATTCCTAGCACTGTCAAACGGGCTGGTCCGTCCGGTCCGCGGTTCAAACGGGGCGGGCCAAAATGGCCCGCATTTCTACGGGCTGGGAAATTCATGGCCCGTAGCCCGCCCGCATTAGCCCGTGGGCCAAATCGACCCGCCTGCGGGTTTTTTTTTTTTTACTAACTGTTTTTTTATTGTTATTATTATTTTTTGCAATTTATAAAGCAATTTTGGTTTTTAAATCCAAACTATAAAAGGAAAAAAAATAGTGGGAATTGAATAAGAATTACTTGTACGACATTTTGATCTCGATGGTAACCATATATTGTGATTGAATTGTGGTAAAATGCAAAATGAAATTTAAAACTTTCATCCTTTAATAATTGACTATTTTTAATAATTGTTGTTGCTATTATGCTATATTAAAGAAAGTGATTTGATTGGGACATTTAAAAGTGGGAGACCAATGTTTTGCCAGCCCCATCAAATCTCCACCTTGCTCAAATTCTTCACGTCTTTACATTTTTATTTCATATTTATATTATACAATTAAATTCAAGAAAAAAAAAAGAATACAATACTTGTCATAAAAAAATTATATTTTATTTCATATTTATATTATTTTATATTATGCAATTAAATTCAAGGTAAAAAAAAAGAATACAAATATACAATACTTGTCTTAAAAAAAAAAAAAAAAATCGGTCCAGCCCGCGCCCGGGCCAAATAGGCCCACGATTGAACGGGCTGGCCAAGCAAAGGCCCAAGCCTGTCCATTTAGGCGAGCGGACGGGCCAGCCCGCGACCATGGTCCGTTTTGACAGTGCTAGATATTCCAGTTATATAGTTTCTATTGGAATAATTTTAACGATAATATTCCATTGGAATGCGTTCTGCATTGAAATTTTAGATAAAATTTGATTATTCCAACGACTATTTTCTCATATTTTTTATCATTGGAATATGCAATTTCCGTTAAAATTTTTATTTTAACCCATATTTCAACTTTTGAAAAATCTATCGCTAGAATCGTTAAATCCAACAGAAACTCCAATGGAAAATTCATTCCAAAAGAATATTTTTGTTAGAATTTCCGTTGGAACACATTGAAAAATATCAACGGAAATTATAGCAGTGAAATATATTTCCGTTAGTACTTTTCGTTGAAATTTCATCATTTCTTGTAGTGGTTCCTACCACTAAAAATGTGTTTGGTAAGCATCATAATTTAATTTATAGTTTATTTGGTTAACTTATAAGTTTTAGATATACAAATAAGTTCGGTTTGGTATGACGAACTTTTTGAAAAAAAACTCGAACTTATTTAATAAGGTTCTTTAGGTAACTTTTTAAATAAGTTATTTTTTTATTTCAACCGGCGAATCAACTAGTTTCACCACACACGTTTTATCACATCAGCTAGATTTCATCAATAAGCTATCAACTATAAGTTTGAAATTTCTATAAGCTATCAATTTATCAGTTATCAATTAGTTTTACCACATATAACCTGAATTGTACTCAGAGGTGTATACCGACCAAGACGAGCTACGACTCAGATTAATAAACAATCAGATAAACGGAATGGATCTCAAATTGTTTATCAATAATAAGTAATCGTAATTGAGCTTTAAAGAATCATGTTAAGATAAAAATTGCAAAATTACATAAAAATCTTTATTAACGAGTCCTCACGAGATGAAATTACTAAAATATATATATTAAATTACGATTTATATATATTAAAAATTGCAAAATTACAACTCTAATTTCACATGCCTATTTATAACCATGAGCACGAATTAATATTTCTGCCATCGACGCGAGGTTTGCTAGATTTGACTAAGGATTATTTTAATGAGCTCCATTCCCACCTTTGAATTAGTTCACACTTCACATGATGTTATTATAAACCTACTTCATTAGTACTACGTACTCATGAGACAAAATTAATATTTCCACCAATTTAGTATATGTTTCCATCATATGAATCTGGGTTGCAAACGAGTCGAGCGCCTCACGAGCCGCTTGCGAGCGCTACGAACTTGAGTCGAGCTCGAGCCCGTAATTTGCATTGTCGAGCGGGCTCAATATATATTAAATTACTAAAATACACCTTATAGATATTAAATAGTATAACACAAGTAATTAATGGTAATTTCACTTAAAAATATTCGAGCCGAGCTCGAGCATTTGATTTGAAGTGTCGAACTCGAGCTATTGTATTTTCTTATCGAGTCGAGCTCGAGTCTCATAAATCGAGCTCGAGCTTGAGTAGTTAAAACAAAAAAATCTATCATGTTCGATAAGGTCAATGCTCGAATCAGCTCGGCTCATCTCATTTGCAGCCCTAATCCAATATCTTACCCCACAATTTCACCCAATACACACATGCCTTTTTCCAATCTCTCGGCGTCGGTGGAGTTTCTTTTTTCCCTAGGCAAGATAAACATGACAAAAAGTATTTTAATCGGGTTTTATTCGATAACTATTAGCAGTTTGTGTGGGGGCCCACGTCCTCTTTGTATGCCTCGAGAGTAAAATTTTGGGGCAATTTGCATTTATACGGTAAGGAATTTAAAGCATAAAATTATTTGGATAACTACTGTCAAACAAAAAATAAATAGTTGTCATCATAAGATTCTCGTAATTGACGGTATTATTTCATTAATTAAAAAAAAATCTGAACTATACAATCTCAAGCAACGTCGTCCATCACGAACAGCGTCAATCACAAGCAGCGTCGTCCATTTTCTGATCAACGAGATGGTGGAGAACACAACATAAACAGAAAATATACATAATATAAACAATATATATACGACAAATATACAATATATATACTTAGGATCATGTCGATCCTACGAAAAAACCAAACTATACACACTCTATTAGTGTGCATATGAAAAAAAATAAAAACAGTATATACACGAAAAATACACAGTATATGTACCTGCAACTACACAAACAACAAAAAAGGTATACGGCATATATACTGTCTGGTGGAGATGAAATTCGCGAGCAGGGAGATCGACGCCCTAGGTCACGGTCGCCCTTCGCCGGTCACTGTACAACATCAGTTTGGGAATTTGACGTCAGTCCGCGCCGCTGATCACCGCTCATCTGTTTGTCACCTGGGCATCGCCCACCACTACAAGAAATCTGTGAAAAAGTGACGAATTTCGTGTGACGAATAAATAATCGT